CTCTCGGACACCACCTATCGCAGCCTCCAGTATCAGCACCGCCGCCGTCACTGCTGCCGCCAGAACCACCGCCTGCCAGCGCGCCACTTACCGCAACATCAACACGATCGAGGTCAGCGAGATCTCAGAGTTCGGTGTCAGCCCCTACCTCACCAAACATAGCCACCGTATCGAGTTCATCGAGTTCAGTATCTGCGAGTGTGGTTTCGTGGGCTGGTTCCTCGCCGACGGTATCGTTGAACGAGATGCTCAACTGTGTGACCGCCGTACCCCGCCATGATTTCAGAACCGGGCATAATCCGCATCGCGTCTACATGCTTGCAAGACCTGCAAGGAGCATTCGTCATGGCTTCTCCGGTTCTACAGGCGCAGCAGTCCCGATTTGACGAATTTCTTTGAAGGCGCGATGAATGATCTCATGGGTCAATGGAGGAGGCTCACGGGCAGAGAGTGCTGGCGTGGACCTGACCTGATGAACAAACCGACGAAGCCCAAGAAGGAGAGATGAACCCCGCTTGGTGTCCGGACGGCAGATTGGCTGGTCGAGCCAGCTACATACACGTAAGTCCGCATTGCTGTTTTGTTTTCGCATCATCCGTCAACTTGCGCTTAAGTCTGCATTGCTGCTTTGTTTTCGCACAGGGTTGCTCACACGTTAATCAGCATTGTTGTTCGATTATTACACCTGGCTACTTACACGTAAGTCCGCATTTAGAGAAGCTTCATCCAGTGTGCACAAGCTTTGTTTCGAAGCTGTGATGGCGATCGCACCCATCCCGATCTTATCTCGATAAGATAGCCTTTTGGGGGGGTCTGTCGTTTCGCGATCGAACTCTTGCTATTGCTAGCCTTGCTTGTTTTGGTTCGCGCTGGCGGCGCTGAGAGCTAAAAATATCCTGCAGCTCGCGTGTAGCGCATCTGCTTAAGTGCCCAAGGGGCTGCCTGCTATGCAAGCCGTGTCGAGCCGCTTGGCCGCCTTCTGCCAGCACGCCTGGCGCTCCGCTCAATGAAAAGCCAGGCTTATATGCCCGGCTGCTCTGGCGCCTCAGCCTTGTGCGCCTGCGCGCCGTGCAGGAGGAGTGTGATTCCAGAAGACTCGCCCTCTTCCGCCTCGCTTCCGCCCCGTCTCGCATGCCTGCTCTGCCGCAACCGTTCTCCCTCAAAACAGGGCCATTGGTTAATTGAGCTACGATTTGTGCCGCGCAGAATGCGAAAAAGTATCATCAACGATAATCATCCATATCACACTGGGGTGTCCCGTGGCCGACCGCCCAGGAGGTCGCTTCGGTTCAGGAGGGGGACCGAGGGAGGAGGGGGGAGGGAGGAGAGGGCGTTGTAGAATGCCTCGGCTCTTGGCCCGTCTGAGGTTTTGGGGAGTCGTATCTGACGCGGGGCCCCTCCCTGGACACCCCCCGGGACTCCCCCTTGGGACTTTCCCCGGGCCCCCCCCCGGGGACCCCTCCCTCGGCAGGGAAGGGATCAAAGGGAAGCGGCTTCCCTTCGACTGAATGGCAACGTTGCTCTTGAGGGGGAGGCCCTGGGAAAGCGGGGGGGGGGAGCGGCGACTAACCCAGGGAAAAGGGGGAAAGGGGGGGAGGGGAGACGGACCCGGGGAAAGGGGGGGCGCAGGGACAGGAAACGACTGGCCCAGGCAAAGGGTGGGCGCAGGGACGAACGACGGGAACGGACAAACCCCTCACACACGCCGACACAGGGACGGCGGATTTCGTACAAGATTTGGAAAGGAACCCGCACGGACATAGGAGCGCCATTGGAATACACGAATTATCCTGGGGAGGAGGACGGCGAAGACGAGGACGAGGACGAAAAGGAGGACGAGGTTGAGGAGGAGGAGGAGGAGGAGGAGGTGGAGGAGGAGGAGGAGGAGGAAGAGGAGGTGCCGTGCTTTTGCGATCGGGACGCGCATCGAAGCAGGACCCGCATCCTCCTGAAGGAACTTGCTCGGAAAAGACGACGGCCCCAGCAACCGAACGAAACTTTCAGCCACCGAGCCAGTGCTTCAGCAACCACACAACGATTTCGGAAGACTCCAGCAGCCAAGCAACGCTCCCTTCCCTCTCTTCTGAGAAGTTCGAAAACCACCAGTATTATATCAGTTGCACAACTAGAGTTTGATATGTCCGAAACGTTTGGATTTATTTTGAAATCTAGTCATCATATGCATCCCCCCATTCCTCGTCGTCCTCCTCCTCCTTTTCCCCCCTGCTTCTCAGCCCTTTTGTTGTTTCTCTTACTTGGATTCCTTCCCTTTGTGTTTCCTCCTCCTTTTAGCTCCCCCTTCCTGTCCTTCCTCCCTCCGCGCCCCAGTCGAACTTGTTTAACCGCCGTCAATGTAGCCCAACACGTATTAATGCAATCTATCTGAAATGTTAGACGATTCGCGTATTCCCACCAGCTAGTTCATTTTGTTTTGTGCATGTGCAACTGCGCACTTGCTGTGCAGGTGCGAACCGGCTTGCCAGCGTGGCTGCAGTGTTCG